GCCCCTGCGCAGGAGGACCCCAAGCGAGACACTTATCCCAAGTATTAAGTTAATTAAAGGGCCTACTCATAGGCGTTTAGGATGTGGAGCATGGAGTTTTGAAGTTTATTTTCTGCAAACAAATGCTCAGTATATTCATTATTCCACGTAGAAGTGCAGTTTTCCTGTGTCTTCCAGTTCTCATCTAGCTGCTTGGTGGGGGATGGGGAAGCAAAATGAATGAACTTAATCTGTGCACTGTGGCAAAACTGTTATTTTTACGGATTTTACTACTCAACAGTATTACCTTTTCAAGATTTATATATTTATATGATCATAAGAAAAACTACTGAGCCAGTAAAGCTTTGTTATTAATTAATCCTAAAAAAAAAGACTCAGTTCAGACTGCAGTATTGCTGCATGATATACCTGCAAAATTCCATGAATGGACCTCAGGGCTCATGCTAGAATCTGCAAGCTTCAAGACAAAACAATGGCCCCACTTTTGAAGACAAACAGCTCACTCCAAAGAATCGATTCAACGCCCACAGGAATGGACATTCTGCTTAAAAAGAAAAAAGTCTGTTTGTGTTTACAATCGCACCCTATCCAGAAGAAGGAGATGGATGGTAGCGAGGCTGGACAGAGGAACCATACCAAGCTAGCCCCAGTACCCAACCAGGAGCCCTTTATTGCCTGAAACTTTTAAAGCATTTGGAGGAAGGTTTTCAACTCAATTAGCATTTAACAACCCTGATGTTTAATCTCAGGATCAGTGGTGAAGTTACTAAAGCCATTACCAGAGGGCTAGAGCAGTCAGTGTGTTTGAAATGTCAATGCATTTCATATGACACTGTGGTCCCCCTCCACACAGTCCCTCCCCATCTGAGGCCATGATATTTAGGAACATTTCACAAGGGCAGGGAATTATCCTGCAGTCTTAGAATCATAAACCTCAAAGGACCCATGGAGTCTACTCTAGCTACACACTGTCCTTGGAAAAACAAGTCAACATTAGAGATACAGGACGGGTTGTGAAGCTGGCAACACAATGTGTGAGAGCTTCTTCTCCCAGACTATCTCCTCTCTATTCAGCCTGCATTCCACCAGAGAAGACAAAAGGGCTAACAAGGGAAGAGGCTGGAAAGAGGTTGTAGAAGGATTTAAATTTAATAAGCAAAAGAAAATATAAAATGGTAATTATCTGGGATCGACCAGTAGTTTTAGGGATGTAACCCTTCATATTCTGAACATCTGAGAGAAAAATGGTTGCACTTTGACTAATTATGAATGGATAAGCATTGTCCCTTCCCACTTTGCATGTGCTAGACAACTCTGGTCCACAGCCCCCTCTTAGCTGGGTGGAGCCATGTGACTAGTTCTTGCCAATGGCATGTGTGCAGAAGGATGTGTGCTGCCCACAGGCGGGAGTAGCCAGGAGCAGGTGTGGGCTCTCAAGATCTGAAAAACCTCTCTAGATCTGAAAACCCAGGGAAAGGTTAACAGAGGACCTAAGAAGAGTGGAGTCACAGCAGGGAAAGGAGCCTGGGTCTCTGATGCCTGCAAAGAACAGCCCCCCCCAACACCAGGCAGTAAATCAAACCACAGATAAACCCTAGACATGCTAAACCACTGAGATTTTAGATTGTTAAAGCAGCAATGATCAATTACGTAACTGAAAAAAACGACATCATCAGACTTATAGACCAAAGCACTCCCAATAGAAATATTTATCGACAACAAAATAATTGAAAATTAACTGTCCAAAAGTAGAGAATTGGGTAAATAAATTATGGCACCTGATTTATTCATTAAAATTACACAGAGATATGATAAAAAGTTAAATAAACAAGTTTTTTTTTTAGCTGCAGAGTCTAGCAGCCAAAAAGTAATTATAAAATAACTCATGTGTTTTTACTTACATCTTTGAAGAAGATTTATAAATCACAGAATTTTTTAAAGGCCCTTCTGTATTCTATCCATTTCTTTTTACCAAAGTAACTATTCCTATGCTTTTCAAAATTCTTGCACAAATTGTCAATCACTTGCCACTAGTCTTCCTCTCTGCCTCTTGCCCAAATTGTCAATCACTTGCCACTAGTATTCTTCTCTGCCTCTTGCCCCAGTCTTGCCCTCAAAACCTAAAGGAAGAATTTGCAGGAGGAGGGCAAAGATGCTAAGAGTTCTCCATCGGCAACTTGCAGACATTGCCACACTTATGGCAGAAGGAACTTCATTTTTCTACATCTTTTTGCCATCAGAACCTTGCTCACCTCTGCCCCAGAGTCAAGGGAAATTTTGTTTTCAGAGAAAAACTAAGAAGTTCTCCATTTCCAGAGAAAGATGGGTGGTTTTTCAAAGCATTGCAAGCAGGGAGAAGAATGTGTGGTCTAATAAAGGCCCAAGTCATGAGATGGAAATGAAAGGGATTAAACTTGTATTAAACTGAAAGTCAGAGTTGTCTTAGAGAAAAATAATTTTCATGGGGACAAGCTAGTTTTTATTTCTGATACCATAAAAGAAAATTAACTACAACCTGGATTGGGTTTCTCTCCTGGCACCACATCCAGGCACCCTATTTCCCAACCCATGGAACTATAATCTCTCCTACCTCCTGTGGGAGGGTACCCTGGGCTTGGGCTATTCCAACCTCTGGATCAGCAATAAGTGGAAGAATCATATATTGCTTAATAGACGGCTTAAACTTGTAAAGACACAAGAGAGGACTTGAGGAATGACTGAGTTATTTTGCAGGGAAGGGGAAAGGTCAGAGAAAATGAGTTTGGAAAGTGAGAGAGTAAGAAAAAAGTTCAGAAAACAGCATACCCTTTATCACCAAAGGGAAAAAAAAGAAAGAAAGAAAAGGAAAATATGTTTAGATAATGTTGGTTGATTCAAGGAGAGTAAAATAGTTTAATCAGGGCACAATACTCCTTAATTAAAGAGTTTAGGGCCAACCACCTAAACTCTTTTAGTAAAGAATGGCATTAACTTTCATTGGGTCTCATGTACTTGGGTTTGGGAAAATGGAAACTGGTTTGTATTCATTGGCAGAAAATGTTCATCTTGGGCTTGGGGTGTAGTTCAATGGTAGAGCATGCCCTTAGCACTCGGTGAAGACATAAGCCTGATCTTCAGGACCCCCTCCCCTCAAAAAAATAGTAACCTCTTTGTTTTGAATTCTGTACAGCAAGAACTATTTTCTGGAAAACAACCCATTCAACTAAAGAAAGCCACCCTTTCTTCATGAGCCTACACAGCATCTCTGTATGGCAGGAGTTGACAAATCATCCCCTCTCTGAAAAGAATGAGTGGGGTCAGAAGAGCACCTCATTTTTCAGTGAAAGGGTCACAACACGGAACCCAGAGGACCAGCTTGGAGCTTCAGTTTCAGAACATCCTGGAGGTAGAAAGTGAGGAAGCATCCCCAACCGCAACTTGCACACATGCCCACAAATTCTTGTGTGCACAAACTTCCTACTCCCACCTGAATCTGGGCTGATGCAGGAGTAAAGAGGGGATCGGCATCCCCAACCATGATATTCACACCCCTCTCTGCCTCCTCTTGTTTCCTTTCCATGAGGGGTAAATGAGGTAGTTAGTAGAACCAGAGCTATCTCATCTTGGGATGGTCAGTGCCAGAGGCCCTGAATGAGCCACCTTGCCCATTAGCTGTTTCATTATATTAGTGGCACTACATTTTTATAAGACAGCATGCCTTGTAAAATCAGGAGCTCATATTCACATATGGATAAATAGTAAAATGACTCCCACTATAGTTTTCTTCCTCTGCAGCCTCCACATTTTTCTAATCACTTTGGCAGGTGAAAATAATTTTTTTCCCCTCTAAATGAGCTAGATGGGCTGGGAATGTGTCACTTTGGAAAGAAGATGTCTTCATACATGTACAAGGCAGAGTGCCAGTTCTCTCAGCCTTACCAGCTGTTCTGGGCACAAATTCAGAGCTCTAAAATGATCCCATTAGCTTAGCCTTCATAGTTAATAGGTGAGAATTAGTTAACTAACACATCTCTAGGCTATGTTAACCCGAGAGGGTAGTTAATTGTGTCTCAAAGGACATGTATTTTGCTTGTTTCTTGTTTTTATATGAGGAGTATCCTTTTAATTCTGACCTCATCTGGAATTCATTTTTTCCCATCTAAGTGTTCAGAATATAAATCTCAGCCTCAAGAGAACTTGGGCACCAGAGCAGACACAGAGAGACATAAGAGAGAAAGAAGAGAGCTGAAAAACTTCCTCCTAGAGAGGAAAGCAACAGGCATTTTGCAGCGAGGATTAAGAGAAAGACAGTGTTTCAATATCATTGAAGGTGACTCTACTTAAAACAGAACTTTGAGCCACTGCAGCTGTGGGGACTAGAAGTCTCTGCAATTAGTAATTGTAACACTTTCATCATCCTGACACAAAAGAAATAGAGTGATAAGGTACTGGAGATATACAGAACCTGGATTTTGAATGAGAAAAATTCTAAAATGGCAAAAATGGAGATGATTGCTCTAGACACACAAAAAGGTGGGTTTTATAGTTTTGTCCCTCAAAGTTTCATGTGTTAAAGGCTTGGTTCCCAGTTGGTGGCAATACTGGGAGGCGGTGGGAACTTTAGGAAGGGGAACCTAGTTGAAGGGAGTGGGTTCTAAGAGGCCCTTAGGAACTTGTTTCACTTTCCTTCTGTTTCCTGGCTGCCAGGAGACAAGCAGCTTTCCTCAACCACACCCTTCCACTATAATGTTTCTACCTCCCCAGAGGCATAAAAACAATGGAACCATGCAACCATGAACTGAAACCTTTGAAACCATAGGCCAACATAAACATTTACTCTCTTAAGTTGTTTTCCTCAGATATTCTGTCACAGTAACAGAAAGCTGTTTCTCAATCCTTGTGAGGAAGAACATAAAATTAATATTAGAACCTCAGTAAAGAGAACTTTTTTCAGTCATTCCTTTTGTTATCTTAAAATAAAGCCAGGTGGGATTTATTATGGTTTTAAAATGCAATTTGTCCCCCAAAATTTCATGTGCTAGAAACTCAGTCCCCAGTGTGTGATGTGTAAAAATGGTGGAACTTAAAAGTGGGGCTGACTTCAAGGTAGTTAGGTCATAGAGGTTCCACTGTCATGAGTACATTAATGCTGTCTCTTGAAGTGGATGGTGTCTCACAGGAGGGTAGGTCCTGCAAGAGCAAGTTGTTATAAAAGCATGAGTGCGGCCCTCCCCACTCTCTTTCTGCATCTCTCATCTTGCCACCTCTCTCTCTTGCACTCCTGCCACATGGAGCCTTGTGTCATCATATAATACAGCCAGAAGGCCCTCACGAAAGGCCAACCAGATGGAGCCGCCCAACCTTAGACTTTCCAAAACAGTGAGGTACATTAAACCTCCTTCCTTTATAAAGGACCTAACTCAGGAACTTTGTTATAGCAACACCAAAATGAACTAAGACAGGTGTGGGACAACTTTAATAATTCTTATCAGCCAATATCTGGATGAGCTGTGCTTCACTGGTAACTGTGAGTAATGATATTATAAATCATTCATTGAATATTATAATGTGTTGTTCTCTGCACAAGTTACTTTACAAATATTGGGATTGTTCTGCCCAACATCATGTATGTAGGCATCATGAGGCCCCTTTAAC